TGGTTATGGAGACTATGTGGAAGCAAGCAAAACTTTTGTTTCGTGAATGACACTCTTTACGTTGATCATCATGTGATTTTTGTTTGCCTTAAGTATTGATTTGAGAGTGTAAGCCTATGAAATCTACTTATTATATACACCAGTCACATCGTGGCACGCATGAAAGGTAATTTAGATTTTAAAAAGTATCAACTAACCATTTTTATTTTATTTTTTGCCCTCAAAGTTTTATGTATTAAAAACCAACAAGGCAACAACCATAACAAAATTTGAAAGTCACTAAACCAAAATGGACCCAAGCCACACCGAAGCTTGACCTTAGATAAAAAAAAACTCAAACAGGGGAAAAACAGAGCATATCAACTAACAATTTAAAACTCGAATAACCTGTATGGGAAAACTCAAGGTATTTAAATTATTATTCATACATTGGTGGGAGGATGTGGAGATAATTTAAATAGCTTGATTTTTCCATACAGTAAGAGTTTTATGTTCTTTCTTCCTCAGTATGAGATCACTCGTACACATATTCGAAATTATCCTTGCTTCTAAGGACATAACCACATTTGAATGTTACATCTCGATCTTACATTTAGATGTTGAATTTGGATGTAACATGCATGCAAAGAAACGGACGTTCATTGAGTCAGAGATGAAATAAGCACAAGATTAAACAAGGACATGAGTAGATTGGAATTTCAGGTATAGACGGAAGCAGAATATAAGAGCTTAATGGTAGATGCCAGTGAGAGATTGGAATTTCATGATGATCTGCATATAGCTCTGCTATCAAAACGAAGAAGTAAACACACTGAATAGAGCGTTATAGGTCGCACCTTTGAGATACACCATCGTTCCCTGAACCAGAAGGCGCCTTCTCACCTCCTTCACCCTTTCTCTTCAAGTTCCTCTTTGACTTCTTGCCAGAAGCTTGGTCCTTCGCAGTTTCTTTGTTGGTTGGACCAAAACTAGGAGGCTACAACAGAAGAATGTCGAGCAATTTAGTTATATTATCATTTGTCTATTCATGCATCTTTTCCGTGAAACAAAGCAAAAAAGCTTTAACCGAAAACTTGAATTGCGTTAGTGGTATGGAGATTACCATGGGCATGCTAGGATGGGCATAGACTGCCCCTGGGGGATACATTGCTGGATACGGAACTGGGGTCCCATAAAGCGACATCATATGGTGCTGGAAGTATCGATTAAAAGAAAATAAAACTCAAGTTAGTGTTATCCAAAGACAAAGATGCAAACTTCTTTATAATAAGATCACATCAACAACAATACAATGGAAGCTTACTTGAGCACTCCACATGTACGGGTGTGGACTAGGAGGTGGGAAAACAGGATTTGGTGTACCTCCCCCTCCATAATAAGCCTAAAGAAACGAACATACTATTATGTTCTGCAATCTCGGTGAAGACACTACACAAAGGGAACTAATTCGCTAAAGTTGTGTATTTTACACGAACCTGCATTGAATTGGACCAATACAAGAAAGTGTTCTTGTTTCATCAGGAAGATATATCGAGTTTGGTATACACATTGTTCCTGTTGCAAGTCTGAAATTCCACATAGGCTCAATCTTTTTATTTCCCCCACCTCTAATTCATTCCACAAAGTCTAATCCTGGTTTGCTATAGAAATCTAACTAAAGATATGTATGATTCAGTGAGCATGTTACCATTAGGCTATTAGGTAAGAATTAACTGACAAGTTAAATAGAGATCAGCTTGTCAATAGACAGAAGTTATGGTGTTTTTGACTGAATTGCAAAATATATAAATCAAACAGCAATCAGAAAGAGAGCAAAACAAAAAAGACGTACAGTGATTCATTTGAGTCAGAGATGAAATAAGCACAAGATTAAACAAGGACATGAGATGACTGGAATTTCATACATGGACAGAAGCAGAAAATAAGACGTTAAAGCTAGATGCCAGTGAGAGAGGATCAAGTTGGAAGACAGTACCAAACCACTCAATCTTCCCCCAAATCTCGCCTCCCTCACGTCTCTCCAAGGAAATCTCCTCGGAGCAAAGCCTCGAATTCTTAGGACCTCCAAGCAACATTTTCGAGAAGATGACAATGTTACCTGCAGAGTTGCTGCAGAGTTTGATGGTTTCAGCACGTCTGACCCGCCTGATTGTAGAACGGAGAGGAAAATTCGGAATAGCAGGGAAAGGATTTTGGCGCTTTTTCAAACCTTTCACTTCCTTCCAATCTAACTCATCCGGCTCACACCACAGTATTCTCCCGCTAGTATCAATACAGTATAACAAATTTCCTATGGCACACCAATCGTTTCGGTTTCCTGGCACCGAATCCTCCTGATTTGTTCCTCTTCTCCATTCAGTTAGAAACCATTCAGTTGGAAAGCTTTGATCTTCATCATCATCCACCGCGTAAACTTTCTTATTCTCTATCACTACACTATGATGGTCCATCTTCAGGGTCACAAACTCACTCCAAGTTTGAGTCTTTGGATCAAAAACCTCGGAATCCCCGCACCCTCCAAACACGTATATCTTTCCGTCTAGGCAGCTAGACGATGCAGAAGCACGAGGCACCTTCGTGGACGGGACGCGGTGTCAAGTGTTGGAGTAACAATCGAGGAACCAGACATCCGAAGTGGGTTTGCCGCCGCTTATGGTTCCACCGATTACGTAAATTAATCCCCCGATCCACCACCACGAAAGATGATGATTCCCGAGGCTGATTAGGGTTCGATGTGATCGGCTCTAGCCGACATTACGCGTGAGGACGAACCATCGTGGGGTTGGATCTGGAACGATGCGTAAGCACACGTAGAGATATGGCTCGGTGCAACCAATCAACGAGCGCGTGAGGCAGAGCTCAGGGGAAGCTACTAGAGAGCGGTGTCTCTTGGAGACGAGAGATACAGTCGCGTAGTCCGATCTCGGGACGCGGGCCACGCAACTCAGAGCCACCGCGTCTGGTAACGACGACCACGACGGAGACGTCTCGTTCGTCTTCTTCCTCCTTTTATTTTCCGGTGGCACTTCAGGTGTGCAACTAGACATCGTTGAACCCAATTCACAACAACCCGAAATCATAGATCAATCTTTCGTGGGATTAATTGTTCTTCAAGTTAGGGCTTCCGTGAGAACTTCAGGGTTCTTATAGGATTTTGTTTTATTGTTCTATTTTCCTAAAGGGTCATTTTGGTGTATAATCAAAAAAAAAAATATTCATTAAAAAGTAAGTAAAATGGGGGTATGTGGCAAAATCATGACCATAGGATGTGGGGTTTTTGGTTAGATTTTGGATTATAATTTTTTTGTGTTATTTTTGCCAATTTGCCATTAGTAAAACCGTACGTAATTTTTTTTTTGGTTACTGTAATCTTCTACTTTGCTATGTCAACCTAACATAGGATTTTGGACATATTTCTTGTATCTTTTGGCTGGAAACCATGTGAAAAAACAGAACAACATCAAGTTTAAAAGCAACGAGATCTTCTCAAAACTATCAGAGTTGTTCTACTGTCGATGCTTTATAAGTGAAACAAACATATATACGAGAAAGAAGATGAACACACATATATACTCAAGAACAATGTCCAAAAAGACCAAGTCAAAGAAATAAGTGCATTTGCTTCGAAGTTCGCTTTCTTCCTATAGACTTAAAAACAAATTGTAAGATATTACCATTAGACAATTAGGTAAGAAGAGTCAAAGTGTATTAAGAGTAGTTGATTTGGATAAATGGATATACATTTCCATCAATTGTGAAGTTTTTTATATCTTCAAGATAATTTAGTTTATGTTCTGTTTTGTAAGTTAGTATATATTCAAAGCAAACCAAAACATTCGAAGGACCATGAGGTCATAATTAGTAAAACTAACCGACTGACGGGAAAAAAAAAAATCAATGTCTGCATCACTATCAGTTTTCGTCATTTTCAAACTTAAATATTAAAAAGATATATCAACAGAAAATGTTCCATTAAGTTTTCAATAAGATTGGATTTTGTCACTTATTTTTATTGCCGCATCAAATTACTCTATGATCATACATTTTATACGATAAAATCGATATAAAACAATAAGACTATCCATAGAAGATCAACTTTAGAATTTTCGCAGATTTATGTAAATTGAAAAAAAAAATACATTTATAAATGTATAATTTTTCTTGAATTATAAAATTAGTATTGATGCGAGATATGATTTACAAAATTACAACTTATGATTATATCTAACATATAGAAAAGAAACAAAGTTGCTTATTAGCAATTAACAATTGAATACAAACAAAAAAAAACACAAAACTAGATTAACAAGAAGGAAATTATTACTAATTAGAATAAATTTTTAGTTTTATAAGTGAGCAAGAAAAGGTTTAGATTTTGTTTATTCACGAGCCACCACTTCCGACGAAACTCATATGCCGGCGACAAAGTTCCTAACTTTTTTTTTTTACGCTACCTTCGCCGGTAACTCAACCTCCGGCGAAGTCTTATCAATACGGCGTCGTGTCGGCGAATTCATCCTAACATAAAAATTAACAAAAACCAACAAAATGGCACCGTTGAGCACAGAGTTCAAACCCCACGCACCAATCCCATTGCATCCACCATTAACAAGGTACATCGTAAGAACCCCAGCGTGAGACACGAGATTACACCCCACGAGAACCAACTGACAATTCACAACAAACGAAGGAAAAACCGAACCGGGTAAACCAAACCCGGTCCAAAATCTATAACCATAAACCACCGAGTAAACCAAAGTCGTCGATAGAATCGCAAGAATCTGATACGACTGAGAGAACTCAAGCCAGAGGAACGACGTGAAAGCCATGACGGAGTTACAAAAGAGCTGAGTCACGGCGAGTCTCCGGCGACGTAAGACGGCGAAGATCGTACGGAACATGTGAAGAAACCGAGTTAGGTAAAAAACGTACGACCAGAAGAAGACACGACCCGAAGGACGAGTCCCGAGAGGAAAACAGAGAAGCCATTGAAGAGGAGTGGAGGTTTTGCTCCGTCTCCATAACCACCTTGTGTCACGGATCTCTGCGGCGGCGGAGAGGAGGATTCCGGCGAAGATTGTGACGGAGAGGATTGACATGAGAAGGCTGTGGATCTCCGGTATGTGGCCTAAAGGAACGGAGCGGTTGC